TTTTATAAAAAAATAATTCCCCCCCCCCCTCCCCCTCAGATTCGTTACGGGAAGTTGGAGGAGCCGCAGAATCCGTTGCTTCGATACATTTCTGATCCAGAGGACGAGCTGCGTATGATGCTTGACGGATACGAGGAATTAGAAAGAAGTATAGGATACAAATTTCGCGACAGTAGTTATCTCCTGCAGGCATTTACACACGCCTCCTACCAGCCGAACAGACTGACGGATTGTTATCAGCGTCTGGAGTTCCTCGGTGACGCCGTGCTGGGTGAGCGCTTCTTCTTCGTCCTTCGAACACAATCGGGTCAAGTTGCAACATAATCAGTCACGTTGAAGTGACACTTTGCATTTCAGATTATTTGATTACTAGACACTTGTACGAGGATTCCCGGCAACACTCGCCGGGCGCATTGACGGACCTGCGATCGGCTTTAGTTAATAACACGATATTCGCTTCCCTGGCCGTGAGGTGCGGCTTCCATAAGTACTTCCGCCATCTCTCTCCCGGATTAAGCGTGGTGATCAATCGCTTCGTCAGGATACAAGAAGAGAACGGACATTCCATTAGCGAGGAGGTACGTTGCGAAGAACGACTGCCGTTTACGAATGCGTTAACGAATGCGTTGTATTTTTCAGTATTACCTGATCGGCGAAGAGGAGTGTGAGGAAGCGGAGGACGTGGAAGTGCCGAAGGCTTTGGGCGACGTTTTCGAATCGTTGGCCGGCGCCATCTACTTGGATAGCGGAATGTCCCTCGATGCGGTGTGGAGCGTGTATTACACAATAATGAAATCAGAAATCGGTAATATACACTTCGTCCGACCGGGAGAAAATTTAAATAATGCGTGGAATTGGCTTCAATGGTAACCGCAAACGTTGTGAATCAAGTATATAGAAAACATAAATAGGGACACAAAAAGAACGAACTTTGTCAAGCTTGCGTGTCATTTTTTTTTTTAATTTTTTTATATATATACTTGGCTTAAAATGTTTGCGGACCACTGAGGACGGTTCAAACAGAAGCCGAAACGCGTGCGCGTTTGGATTTTAACGTAACATGTCATGAGTTCGAGGTTCTACTTAAAGATTTTGAGATTTGTGGCACTAAAATATCTGTACATTGGCTCTTACTAGCTCCTTATTAAAATTCCTTGTTTACTCACTGTAGTCGTCTTAATTAATGTCAGGAGCAAGGAAACGTATAAATAAATTCTTGCGGAATACGTTGTAGTAAAGACACAACCATAAAGTGACACTTGTAATCGATCGAGCACATTTGTAAAATATTCCGGAAACTTTCTTTTTACTTTGACAATCAATAAGTAGTCGTAAAATTAACGTGACAAAATCATGAAAAAAAGAAGATTGCGCGTCGTGATAACTTTACGGTTATTCATCGATTGTTCGAACGAAAGGAAAATTTCCGGAATATTTTTCAACCGTGTTCAATATCGACCACAATTGTCATTTTAATCCTTTTATTTCAACGTACTTCACAAAAATTTTGGGCACGCATTTTCTCGCTCTTGACGTCATCAAACAAGGAAATCTGACTGCAGCCAAGGAAATTAGGAACCTTAATATCTTCCGATGGAATATCCACAGAGCCCTTTCCTTTTATTTTTGCGTAGAACAAATTTATTAGAACGATATCGTACATGATACATTGCAGAACAATTCAGTACGAATGTGCCCAAGTCGCCAATCCGCGAATTACTGGAGCTGGAACCGGAGACCGCGAAATTCGGCAAGCCTGAGAAACTAGCCGACGGCCGTAGAGTCCGCGTGACGGTGGATGTATTCGGCAAGGGTTCGTTCAAAGGAATCGGACGGAACTACAGGATCGCGAAATGTACAGCGGCCAAATGCGCCTTGAAGAAGCTGAAGAGGATACAGAGCTATCCGAGGGAAAAACTGTGACAATGTTTGACATAGCTTTAACGAGATGAATGAGGACGAGAGTACGGGTTAAACGACAGAATATTTTATTCTCCGAAAAATTGTTGGCGTATATATAATATATTTCAGAAGATTGTGTTCATGAGCGTACTTATAAATTTACAATGTTAAAAGGTAGCCTCTTTATCTGAGTATACAACATTGTATGTCTCTCTCAGTACAAAATTATGATTTTAGATAGACGTGAGTCTTAACGAAAAGAGCTGCTCTTTGTTCGAGCTTAATCGAGGATTTAATTGCGCGCTGACAGTTGACGAAATCTATTTAACACGGTGTGTATGGAGTAAGAATGAACGAATGGTCGGCAATATTGACGGGTATTATTATAAACGATTTTTACTAAACAAAATATACAGCGGAATATATCATATTTTCGACAATTGATTGACTGTCAGTATTAGAGTTTAAAACTTTATTCTTCTAACTTATTTGTTTAGCTTATAATTTCTCGAGGAGACTCGCATTTGCCACATTGACACGCTGCAATATAAGAATAAATATCATTTTATTGTTTATATTTTAATTGTGTATATAATCTATTGATTTATCAACGTGTTTTACGCATATAGCTGTGTCGGAAAAACTCTAGTCATGCTAGCACTGTTGATCGTTTTTTACATGTGTCTGTGACATTCGGATATATTCTGGAGAAAAAGAAAGAAAGGAAAGAAAGTACAGAAAGATGACGTACAATGTAGCCGCAAGTCCAGGACCACTTTATTAGACTTTTGTTAAAAATTACATAAAAAAAAAGAAGCGACTATACGACAGTTCAAAATTCGACGTACATAAATTATATCACAAGATACTGATAGTGCGAACGCGAACGATATTTACAAAGTGACATCAGAAATTGTAGCATCCTAGCCCTTCCTACTACTATAGTGCAGATTATCGCCCGCAAATTAAGCTCACTAAAAACCCACTTGTAACTTTTACCGTGAGTTTTATAAGAAAATTGTCGAAAGATAAATAAAATTTTTTGTAACGCACAAGTTTTTCATCTGAACAGGCGTGAGAACTGACTAGTGCGACAATTTGCTTGCGACGAGTGTGAAAACGAAAGCGAAAACGATGTAACGATGAACGTGCTGCACCGTTGAAACTAAGAACCGAGTTGACTGTAAAAGAGAGCGATAGCCGGATCCTCGCATTCGGAAGTGATTAGGACGTCTCGGAACTTGTCGAGAATTTGCAACAACTGGGATCTACGAATGTTTTCCAGATACATGATTTCCTCCAGGTGATGGCCGCCATTGAAATAGCCAAGGCGACACAGTCTATCGAGTAGTTTTCTGTCGTCGGAGGGAATATCGTAGTCTTCCGATTGGTAGTCGTACAGTCCATCCTCTTTATCTGTCAGTGATAATTCTTCCTTGATTTCGGTAGGTGTGCCTTTCGGTGTGTCGTTCAAACTCCACGTGCTCTCGCTCTTTTCTATCGTGTCTATGTCGTGCGTGTCTTGATCCTTTAGATCCTAAAATCGAGAAATAATGTGGGAGGGAGGATGTTAAATATAACATTTAATGACATTTCATGTTTTACAACACCGTGCCAAAAAATAATTTTTATTATTGAAGAATACTTTCTGAAGGACTTTTTTTCTTAAATTTCTTATCACAGTATTATGGAACATAACTTAAAATAAAACAATATTATGTGTTAAATATTGTTTTCAATATCTTATATATGGTCCTAGGTTTTTCTTAAGTATCACAGTATTAGTAAAAATAAAAAAAATTATAATTAGCTCACCATTGATAAACGTCCATGCACTGTTGGCATATATTGCACGTATGTGTGTAATTGTAAGAGCAAGTGATTCCTTAACAACCATATGATTATTTTTACTAGTTGTGTTTGTTGTTGTGGTTGGCTCAGAGGATTTAACTTTTGGCTAATAGAAGTCGGTAAGGAGAAATCGCTGATCACCTAAAAAGAAATATATTATTTACATAATTTCTATCAATCTATAATGATTTTAACCCTTATCGGACGCTAGCCTTTTATGCGTGATTCTCACTAGGTTGTAGCTAGTTTCGGTAAATATGCGAACTTGGCACCTCCTACGTGACGTACGACCGCAGCGACGAAGTATTGTTGTCACGTTACCACCTTACGACCGATAAGGATTAACATCTTTTTAATATGAATATCGGCCTTAATATAATTAAGGCTAATATATTTACATATTACAGATATAAAAATATAATATTTAGCATGATTATATATATATTCGTAATTATTTTACACACACACATACACACACACACAAACAAACAAACAAACAAGCAATTATCTCGATATATGATGTGAAATAATTGAGATACATACTTGAAGTAAGCAGACTCCTGGAAATTGTTCCGAGAAAGAGTCTAATAAGTGATTGGTCAAAACGGCATCCGGAGAAACAACATAGACGTTGCTTTCACAAAGTGGATAAATTATCGTTGCCTTTGCCCAATAAACCAAGTGGCCAGTTAACTGGAACACTTGTGCGAGTGTTAGATCCGAATCTGCCGCTAAAGTTTGCAAACTTTTCAGTGGATTGTAGATCTGAATCAAACGCTTAAGTGCTGGCGAACAGTCTATTTGCAAAGAATCTAACAAGTCCAATGGCTCGATTAGTAAAAGTATGCCATGATAGGGTCTTAAACTGTTCAAGCATCTGTAAAAAATATAGAATTATAATATTAATATAATATATTAAAAATATTCGAAAATATAATAGATAATGTCATTTTTTACAAGTAAGTCTATAGGAAATATTTTTATTAAGTAATTGTGTAAGTACTTTAGATATTAGTTTGCCTACAGAATAACGCATCTAGCATTGTTGAAACACAGTTTTATATAAAAAAAAGTACGTAATTAAAAAAAAATTAATTCTTGATAAAATTTAGCAGAGACTCATCTTTCTTAACCAAGACTCGAATCTCTACTAAACATATTTATACACATACAAAATAATTGTGAATAAATTATTACTTCAGATTGAGGATCAAATTAAAGATAAAGTTTTACTTACATTCTGTATGAATTTTCTAAAATTACATTGTATATGAGAATTTTGTATTAGATGCTGTTGTTAACAAACCTGTCTATAATTTCAGGATCAATGAGTAAGCCTTTCTTATGCGACTGGTGAACCTTTTGAGGAAGACAGAAGCGCACTTGAATCCATTTATTTATCATGATATTCACTATACCAGAAGTGCTGAGATTACTGAACACAAATTTCAAACCACGCGCGAGTGAGCTTCTTTGAAGTATCAACTCGTACGGTGATTCGTCACAATCGCTCTCACCTTCAGATCTAAACATATAGTTTATTACAATATCACAGGATTTTTTAGCAAGAGATGATTTTATTCACCTCCCAGCAACCTCATCGTGAGTTGACACCATCATCTTGATTTCATCTGTTAGAAAGCCGCATCTCTTCTCCTCATGCCTCAATGCTATGCCTAATCTAAACATGTAATACTACTTTTATGCCTTGCAAGCAATTTCTATATATAGAAATTATGTTACCTTTTGCTCAAATCATAGTAACACCTTACTATGGAATGACTGGCTTGTGCTTGCAACGCAAAGACTATATTGAACAGCATAGAAGAATTTACTTCTTTTAAACCTCGAGATGGGACCAGAGTTGGATGTCCGACAAAACGAACATCGTTTACCTTCAATTCGAATTTTTGTTCGCATAACTCCGGTTTAACAGCGAATAAAGTAGACAGTACTCCATCTGTCAAGCCAGTCAAATTCCCATTGCTTATGTTTGATGTTGGAAATGGTAAGGACTATTGAATACACAAAATTATTAAGATATATTAGAATATATCATACTGTCAATGTGTATAAATACTAAAATATTATATTTAAAAGTAAATAACAATATTATCTTTAGAGTGTTAAAGTACTATTTATTTAAATGCAAAGTGCTTGTTGTGTAAATATTTCACAAACAAGTGTAATTACATTCTGTATAAAAAACATTAGATCCTATAGAATAAAATTTTATATAAAACAAAGAATATATACCTGCAATAAGTCCTCAGTGTTGGTTAGAGAATAAGGATTCTTTCGTCTGGTGCATTGGCTCGGGTCTCTCACATGATTTGTCATGTGTGGATACCGAAATAACAACCTGTCACCCTTGCTGTCACTTTTTACCAAAATTATACTCAGTGGATTGATCTCTCCCATGTTTGTTTAATTATTATCAGCAGGTTTCCGATCATTAGGTTAGATTTGTACTTTTTAGTTGCACTTTGCACTATCTACACTTTCCGATAATTGTCTCTTACGCATGCGTGCCCAAAAATATTTGATTTCAGTTTTATCTAAAATACTTAGTATTCAGAATATCCACATAGTCGAATTATAACCTGTATAAAGTGCTCTCTGAACATTCTGAACGCTCTTTAAATAATTAATGTTCTCAATATTAAGATATATTGAAAGAAACGCTTTTGGACACGGTACAGTTTTTGTGTGAAATAGAACGTTGTATTACACCAAAAACATTTATATTTAATTTATTACATACATAATTGTTATTTAATGTAACAAAATATTGTTTCATCTATTAAAATTAAATATAATGTACTAAAATTAAGTGTATGCGAACAGATCAGGCTTTGAATTCAAGATAATTCAAATGTAATACTAATATTATACAGTTTTAATATTACATTTATTTTCCTCGCAGTTTTTTTTTAAACATTTTTAGGCGCACTAATTGTTTGGGAAGTACTTAAGTATTATTATCTTTGAGAGCGGTCAATAGCACTCGAGTAGTTTTGCTAAAAAATAAACGCATATATCTCCAGGTTAAAAATGGATTAATTTATTTCAACACATCCCCAACGAGAAATAACTCATCGATGTCAAATCGACGTCGATTCGATGTAATTTCGATTGTTTCGAAATGAAATTCGATTGTGTCGATTTGACGTCAATTCAAATGTTCATTTCTCGCCGGATATAGTTCTTTGGGAATTTAGTTCTTTGTTGGCGCCTGCTGTTTCATCTACTCGTGTGCAGTTAGATGATAATAAGTATTGTTAATATTCATTTCTGCTCTGACTAGAAAACGCTAAATGATTTTCTTAAGACTATCAGGCATATTTTGCGCGTGCAGTCTTTCATCCCACACAGCATCTTTAGGATATCCCTATGATGTATTTTGGACATTTCCGTTATGTGGGGTCGGCGGTGCTTAGTTTTTTTAAAACTTTCTAAAATCGTGCTGAATCATCATTAAAATCAAGATTTCTAATTTTACAGAGCGTTAAAAAATTCAGAACAACATCAAAAATATACATATACTATAGACAATCGAGAACTTAAGAAACCGCAAAACATAGATATTGAGCCGATTGTATTGTACATAAAAGTGCATTACTGAAAACTTTAAGAGACACTTTAACACTCTTACAACGAGGTAGTTAAATAGTCAATTTGAAATATATATTTCATAATATTGTTTGAATCTTAGCTATATAGTCCTTATCTATCTTCTTTGGGAAATTTATCTGTCCTTCTGCTAGAGTTTGAAAAACCAACTGCAGTCAGATACATTGTAATTACATGTAACGCCGCAATATATTCAATGTTTTTCTTTTCTATTTTAATAAAAAAGGATAACTTCATTATTCCTCGCGTTTTCCTTTGTTATTAGTAGCTTTTTACAAATTAATTCCTCATATATCTTAAAGAAATTATCACTCGATAGGTCTGTTTTCTGTTTCTGCCGAACTAGGACCGCACTAGGACTTTGTTCCTTTTCTCTTCAACGCTAAGCTATCTACTTGTCTCACTCTAACGGTAAAAAATGTAACCTAGTTCAGGAGCAGGAAACAGACCTGGTATGAGGGTTTCATGCAACAATGATCATTGGATCTACCTTTAGTTTTTTTTAAGAAACAATATGAAGAAATTAATATGGCTAATATTTTCAACCTTGAGATTTATTTCATACTTTGGAAAATGCGGGAAAATTAGACCACTGTCACACTCAGCCCATCGATAATGTATCGTCGTTGTACGTTCATTATCGCATATTGTTGAGAAATACCTAGAGCAGAGTGACGTCAGAGAACATCATTTGATATCAGATACGGTCATTGCCGTTAACGTGATATTTGACATCACTCTGCTACTTGGATAATTTCAATTAGAAAAATATCCGAGCCTGTTAGGATAAATCCTCGTGACGTTAATACTGATATTAACCTGCTGCTAAAATCGCTTCAATTTCTATCGAGGCTGGGTGGCACCGACGCCGCTTGTATCGTGCTGATGTTCATGCCGGGCGGCCAGTTCTTCTCCATTTTGCTGTCCGCCCTGCTGTCGAGCTTCGGGGTGACTTTCGTGATCTCGAGCTTGCCGGTGTCGCGATTCTTATAGTACAACGCGCCAGCCGCGCAACCCATTCCTATCCCGCCGAGCACCGAGAGCCATTTGATAAAGCTGCAAATCGAGATGCAATGTCAAAGCTACTTTGCCAAGGCTTAATCCTAACGAAGCAGTCGATCGATTTTTGCAGTCAGCGAATTAATATTAGCTGTCGGCCGATCGGTCCGTGTTAGTATTAAATTCGAACACTCACTTGACGGCTATTATCGCCTTGAACACTATCTTCACCTTGTTGACGAATTGGTCATCGAGAAGTATCCCTTCCTCCACCCAGAACAACGGCAGCAACGCCTCAGGGAAGGTCTTCATCAGCTTGAACTTGGGTACCGGATGTACGAACATGTTGAACTGCAACCTCTTGTGCGCGCGTATCGGAGTAGCCGTCATTGGCTCGAAATCCATGTCGATCTCGTGATTTTCCTGCAAATGTCAACGGTTTATTTAAAACGGCACACTTCTTGTTATACTTATTTAATATATTGGGAGTACAAATTAGTTCGATTCGTTTTCAAAAAATGGCTCTGGCTGTTATGAATGTTTCACAGTGACAGCTGATTTCGGTGGTTTCAGAGAGGTCAGACATCTGTCAATAATATTCAGTTTATATCGCTTTGAGTTTCATACAAAACCCCCTGTTTTTTACTGCGATGAATGTGTCAAATTTTCGCATCGAATGCTTGTAGAAGTTTATGGTGACAATGCTCCAACTGATAAATCATGCAGGGAATGGTTTCGACGTTTCAAGAATGGTGATTTCTGCGTTGAAGACAAACCTCGCTCTGGACAGCCAAAAAAATGGGACTAAAAGGGTGTTGTATACTATGAGCTGCTACAACCTGGCGATTCCATTACGGGCCATCGGTATTGGCTACAATTGATTCGTTTGAGCCGTGCATTACGAGGAAAACGGCCGGAATACGAGCAAAGACATGACAAAGTTATTCTTCTGCATGATAGCGCTCGGCCTCATGTCGCAAAAGTCGTAAAAAATTATTTGGAAACGCTCAAGTGGGATATTTCACCGCATCCGCCGTATTCGCCGGACATTGCTCCTTCTGATTACTGGTTGTTCCGACGGATGCAGCACGATTTGGCAGGTCACCGGTTCACTTCTTTCGCAGAAATCGAAAATTGGCTCCTAACTTGGATCGCCTCAAAATACGAGACATTTTTTCGAGATGGAATTCGAAAATTGCCTGAGAGGTGGGAAAAAGTAGTAGCCAGCGATGGACAATACTTTGATTAATCTGTTCATTCATTTTGTTCTGAAATAAATGCATTTTTGACCATAAAAAACGGACCGAATTAATTTATACTCCCAATATTATTTATATAGTAAATTATTATATTTATTTAATATATTATTTATATAGTATATAACTGTAATTATATGTCGCATTTGTTTAATGCAATCGATTCGGTAAGGATCATGTAATCGTTTACGAATTTCTGAAATTCTGATGACGTCACCTGCTTAGGATTCAAGCCGTCGACCATCGTCAGGTACTTCTCTTCGGAATCGTAAAAGTGCGGCAGGGAACCGATGATGGGAACGCCCAGACATTTCGTCATGTCGTAGAGATTCCTCGTCAGACAGGTTTCCGGTGTCGGGCAAAAGCACTTCTCGTCCTCATTTTTGCTACCATCACCAAGATTCGCCGTGTAACGAAGAGTGTTGACGCCTGTGAATTTAGAGATTTCATGAGACACGAGGAATCTTATGATGATCTTGGCGATAAATGCGTTTTCTCGTTATCGCATTTCTAATTGTATCAGATCGTCAAGGATGAAATTTGTAGAAGAAAAAGGCAAAGTTGGTCGATAACTTACAAATATAAGGAATTATTTTATTCATCAAAGTATGCACCCATATTGTCTATACACTTTTGCCATTTAAGCGGCAGGTTGTTCAAGCCGGTGTTATAAAACCCTGGCGGACGAGAGTCAATGAATTCCTGGAAGGCCAGTTTTACAGCATTGTCGGAATTAAATTGTTTTCCTATTAAAAAGTTGTCCGAATTGCGGAAGAAGTGGTAGTTAGTGGGGGCTAGGTCTGGTGAGTATGGAGGATGATGAAAAAGTTTCAACTCCAATTCCTGTAGTTTTGCCACAGTCATTTGTGCAGTGCGTGGTCTAGCGTTATCATGCAATAAGATAGGAGTCGATCTGTTGACCAATCTAGGCTGTTTTTCTTTAAGTTTTTACATCATTTCGTCCAGTTAGTTGCAGTATATTTCTGCTGTGATCAATGAACCAGGTTTCACGAAATCATAATGGATCACACCTGCGCTAGACCACCAAACACTCACCATCAGCTTCTTCTCATGAATATTGCGCTTTGAAGTGTGTTTTGGTGATTCATCCTTGTCCAACCACTGTGCTGAACGTTTGCGATTGTCATATTGGATCCATTTCTCATCACAAATGACAATTCGATTCAAAAATGGATCAGATTTGTGACGAGAAAGCAACATCAAGCAAGCTTCCGAACGCTTTTGTTTCTGTTTTTCATTCAGTTCATGTGGAACTCACTTATCCAACTTTTTCACTTTACCGATTTGAGCTAAATGAGTTAATATTGTTTGTCTGCTAACACAAAACTTCAACGATAATTCATAGGCACTCTGACATGGGTCAGACTCAACGGTGACCTTTACTTCGTCATTATTGACCTTTGATTCTGGACGACCGCGTGGCTCATTTGTGAGGCCAAAGTTACCTGTATGAAATTTGGCGAACCAATTTGATACTGTCCAATTTGATATTTGTTACTGCTGCGTAGTAACATTAGGGCCAAATACACTATTAATGTTTCGCGCGGTCTGCGATGCCGTAGTTCCGTAAGAACTCATACTTCATAATAGTGCGAATTTCCGACCGTTCCATTTTCAACAAAATTAATTTTTAAAAAAAGGTTTTGATATTTTTTAGAGTTTACAATGATTTCTTTAAACAGGCGAGATTGTAACTTTCCAACAAAAAAACAGAACGGTAATATATTAAGCCAACGTCAAATAATAAGCTGTTACAGTTGGCAATATTATTAACTACAAATTTCATCCTTGACAACCTAATATAATCGACCGTACCCAATAATATCAGAAAGTAGGAAAACATTAACAAGACGATACAAATTCATTATATTATAAGGCGTTATATTAAGAGTGATTTGTGTGCTTTAATTTCATTTTATACGCGTGTAAGAATATTTTAGATCTTAAATTATATGTAATTGATAACAGCAGGAATAGCGTTAAGTTTAATCAAATTCGTCTCAGTTATAATTATGAGAAAATTTTCACACAAATAATTTTGTAAGATATATATCTTATAATAACTCTTATATATAGCATAAATGTTTAGAAGATGGAGACGTCTGTAAGATATATCCTAGTTGTTTTAGATATCTTCAAGATGTTGAAAACATATTTTAGACATTTGTGACATTAGTCTGGGAAGATATATCTTATATAATTATAAGATACATAAATCACAATAAGATATATATCTTTATATCCTTATATAATTATGTAAGATTGTATATATGATTACACAAAATATATATCTCATAATATATGTTTTACATAATTTCACTTTGGATTTCAAGATACATGAACTTGGAGCGCGTACCTTTGACCTTGGTGTGGTGACTGAAATGTGCGCTGAGACTCCGACAGATTTCGAAGCCGAATGAGACGATATCGTCGTCCGGCCCGAAAAGAGGCGGGAAAATCGTCGAGTCGGTGCCGTTGAATTGGTTGCAGTGATCCTCCGGCCAGATGTCTAGCGCGGGCTTGCCGTCGAATTCCAGGACACGTCCGACGTCCTTGAAATTCTTGATGCCGCGCATGACTCGCATGCGCTCCGGCACGACGGTTCCGTTTTTCTGCAGAAACAATCAATTTCATTCGCGTCCTGTGAAGCAAACTATTGCTTCGTTGCTTCTTCTTCTCGCTTTACCACGTCATGTATATATTTCTCGTACGCGTGCATGACGAAGAGAAGACAACGCGACAGTCCTCTCCCGTTCGCGGTAAAATTGCGCCTACACTCAACGTAATGACAGCTCGCGGCTGTCATGCGTGACTCGTGACTTTTTTGACATACAATTGGCACAATGATTTATCCATTCAGCGACGTGCTTTCGGAAAGTCAGTAGCGCGGTAAGCAACACGTTGACTCGAATATGTAATTTTCAAAAATCCATAAAATATATTCAAAAACGCACATCGAGTTTTAAAAAATAATGTATAAACTTCAGGATTAATGTGGTCGGAAGTAATTGTTAAACGAACCGGACTAATAAATTCGATCAAATGATCGTAGTTATGGAAAAAAGATCCGACGTGGAGTGCGTTTCGAGAAAAATGAAGATGAAAATTTGATACATGGTTCGATTTCTACAATCGAATTTTTGTCTGGTCCTCAGGCGACGGTAAATTCATTTACATCAACAGAATTGTTTTTTCCGTTTGCATATATTTAGAACGTCCTCGGACATTCTCCAGGACATCTTGGATATGTTTAGAACGATTCCGAGACATCTCATGATATCTTTGGTATGTAATAATTATGAGCAATTTTAAAGGTTTAATTTAAAGAGATTTAACTCAAAGATTTAATTAAAAAATGAATCTTTAGTTCGCTCAGCGTCGTGGAGACACGCACCCCACCGAAGAGGGAGAACTTGTAGCGACCCTCGCCGTCCGGTATCAATTCCTTGCCCTCCGTTTTCAACACGTTGCATACCGCCGCCCCCGCGAAGTCCGTCACCGTGCAGTCGACCGGCAGACCGTCGAAGAGTATATCCTTCGCTTTGGCCTTCACGAATATCGAGTCCGGATTGTGGAAGATGCTGTTCACCGCCTTGCCTGCGACACACCGTTGCACGCGTCACAAAATCACCCTCGATCATTCTAACCCACACAGCAAAACATATCGGAGATATCATCAGATATCTTTATGTCTGTAATTTTAAGTATCTGAGATATTTTATTTTCAGATATCCACGGAATATCCGCAGAACATTATTACACGATAGCATATGTTTTTTTGGAGAAGACCCCGTCGAAAATTTCCAGATGGATTCCCATGGAAATTTATAAGAACTCACATGTGAATCCATATAGGATAATAAAAATCCACATAGGAATCCACGTAATTTGCGAAAATTCATATAGGAATCCACGTGGATTCTTATTCAGGACTTAGATGTTTGTATGGCGCAAATTCCTAAAGGGAACCGTGAGATTCCGTATAGATTTCTCACATGGATTCCCACTTGGTTTTTTTTTTTCAACAGGGATGTCTCTGCAACATTTGCACACGATTATGGCCGATACTGAAATCTTACAGATATCTTTCAGATATCTCCGTGTTATCTTGACAACCAGATATTTAGACATTCAGATATTTTCCAAATATCTCTGTGATATAATTTGCCGTGCATGGGGGAGGCCATGAGCGGCGACGAGTTCGATTTCAGCCGCGGGAAGAACTCGACTTTCGTCGCAATTAACAGCGTCGCGTCGCACTTTAACACTGCGTATCGATGAAGACGACGACCAAGATATCATGAGTAATTCACACCTCCGCACACGCGCGCTTACGCTATAGGAAAAAACGTATCTCGCGCTCCACTTTAAAAGTTCCGGCTGTGTTACAGTCTGCGACCCTGCGAGATATGACCAATACGATTGCGGCTGCAATCGATATGCGACATTGAACGGAAATAGTGAGATCTGAACGGAGTATGAATACACAGGTGAAAAATTTCGTGTAAATAACGGACGACCGAAATTTCTGTGTTACTTTAACAAGGATTGTTAACAAGGTGAGCATATTAATTTAACATATATTTATATACTTTTTAACATATTCCTACATTAAAGTTAGACACAAATTTCAGTGGGTCGTTATTTACACCAGATTTTTTACCGTGTAACCGAGGATCGTGCCCGGGAAGAACACAAAATCACAATGACGTTAAAGTGACGAGAAAGTAACTATAAAAACTCATTTTCCGCTCATTTTCTTGTCACTTTGACGTCATCATTTTCTGTTCTGCCTGGAAACCGTGCCTGCGAAGCGGGCACGGATGCTCGTCCGTCCCGCATGACATTCTTTCGCGACTAATTTGCGGAAGGTTTTGCCCTTTACTGGGGTCCTTTTCGGTCCAGGTAGGGCTGAGATTACGAGGACATTACAACGTGAGAGATTGTACGTACCGACGACCCCGACTGCGGCGGGCTTGTCCCTGAGGGTGGCCATCACCATGCCGAGGATCATAAGGTGAGGAAACACCATGTCCTCGTCCCCGGTCAGACCGTTGCTCTTCTTCTTATTGAAATACCATATTGACTTCATACTGTACTCCACGCTGTCGTCGTCTTCCCGGTCTATCAGGTCCAACTTCACCTTGTACTCGCTGGAATGGACACGGAACATTTTAAAATCGGCATCAGGAATAAGAGAAGAAGATTCAAAGGATTCATAATTAAATAAAATGAAAAATTAAATTAACTTAACAAATAAAATTTAATCAAATATATAAAATATTAAATATAAAAAATCGAGACCGGACAAGAATCAGAGCTTTCAGAAAAGCAACAGAGATAATCGAGTATAGTGTGTACAATAAAAACTAATTTTTTTTTAATGGAAAAATTATATTCTACATATGTTTTTTACAGTTTTTGATATAATTAAACATCTTTTTCAATTTTTCCTTTGAACGAAACCGAGAAAATCCGTGAAAAAACTCGGTTTCTTTCATTTCTTTTTCATTTAACCACGGAAAGAAATTGAAAAGAAAACACGGAAAAATTGAGAAAACCCAAGTTTTTTCCGAGCATTTAAAACTATTGTTTTTGATACTGATTTTGTACATTTTTCTGAGGAACAAAATAAAAAATTTGAAAAGTTTGTAAAATAGGGAAAATCGTTAAGTTTTTTATGTTCATATGTTATGAATTTAAGTATATCGAACTTAACTTGATCAAATATACAGTACCTGTAAGTGTAGTAACTTTATCCAGTATAGTATCAGTATATTGAATTGAACTTTATCATTCGTCCTTACTACATAGTGAAAGCGACTCACTCGTAGAAAAAAGGCCCCACTTCTTGCAGCTTCGGTTTCCCACCTTGCATGATCTCGTCAGCGTTGGTTACGTTGAACATATAGACTTTAAAGTCCAGCGGCAGCGGGAAAGCCGTCCACATTTCACGTATCTCGCTGCCCGGCTTCAACGCGATTGCCTGCGAGCATTAAGTCTTGTTAACTCGCCATTGGCCACGACGGATGGGAATAATGTAATAAATCATCAATCGCGATAGATTGAGTTTTCATTTACACATCAAAAGGCAATGGAAAGATTTTACGTAACGTGTCATTTTCATTTTGCTCAAATACAGACGAAAATGGCTCGAAGATAAGCTCTCTGGAATGTCGCGATTTCCCGGAAATCCCGCAAATTGCAGCCTCGACGTAATGTTTTCGTTAATTTCGCTCCGTGAAGACGAATTAAACGAATATCTGCTGGTAATCTCGCCGATTCCGCGTCTCCGTTCCCACGTCATGCAGTCTGCGATGAACAGTCACACAGTCGTAACCCCCCCCCCCCTCNCGTCTCTTTTTCATTTTTTTCTCGCGTGTCATGGATATTGCGGACCGAATAAGTAAAAACGCCAAACAATATATTATATGGCCGTTAATAACAGGATCCTCCGCGATGTATGGCTTTACGGAATGACTCGAGTGTTTCGCGGTATTCAACGAGATTATAACGATCAGTTGCATCAGGCACGTGTGCAGAATTTTTCCCAGAAGTGACATGTACACTGAGATTTTCCGAGAGATATTAGGAAAAAAAAAGTTTAATCGTACTGTACTGTTTAATCATACCGAAGCTTGTTAAAATTACATTTTGCCCCCCCCCCCCCCTTAAGCTTTCAAGTGTCGCGTGGAATTTGGTAAAAATGTTCAAAACAAGTGTGAGGAAAGAGAGGAGGAAATATCCAGTAAGTAAGAAACATTAAAACAATCTTTTGAAACATTGATTTTATGTGGATTATATAGACATTTTAACGTAATATTTTATAAATGTTTTTAAATTGTTATTTGATAATATAATATCCCTAAATATTAAAATTAAAATATTATTTTTAATATTTTTGGGTTAATGATTTTTTGCTTACTGGGTATAGTTTTAAAGTTTCGAAAAAACCCGTTTTTTCCTCATTTTTGCGCAAACTTTTTTGGATTCTTACCTCTTTTACGGAGAAAAGTAAATGTGACTACTTTTATCTAAATACACGTGAATTTTTCTAAACAAACGTATGTAGCCTTGGGACAGAAACCGCAGGAAAAAGGAGAAAAAACGCTTTCTCTCCGAAACTTTAAAGCAATAGGAGAAAGTTTGACGCGATTAGACGGCCAGTTGTGTTTCAGTATGCATGTATAATAATTTTTATAAAACTTCTTATATATTATTCAAAGTCATATTAATCGAGCCCGACATATTGAAATCATCGCTCTTGACATGATGATTAATTAAATCCTGATTTAATTACACGAGGCACACGAGAAGAAAGAAAAACGAAGTGGCCTGCATAACGAATGTTCCCACTGCAATTAGGTAATCAACGGTAGCGTCGAATGTACATTAATGTAATGTCAACGTGAGGCATTTTAGACATGGCATCTGCCGGAAGAGAAAAAGCTTCGTTTTACCTTCTTGATTTGCGAGCGGAGCAGCTTGGGGAACCCCACGAAGCCGAAGAGAATGCCGAAAAGGAACATGGCGGCACCGCCTATCGCGAGTTTCTTTATGGACACCATTTTCACGGTCTGCGGGAATGTCAAGCGCTCGGTTACATTTGGAAGCAAACTGGAATGGAAATGGATATCTCTAACGAACAGGCGGATAACTCGAAACTGAACTACTATGCGGAAAAAAATTATCATTTAAGACTCATATCTTCATACATAAAAAAATATATAATCTTATATGAAGATAAAATTTATATAAGCTTAACACGAAGAAATTTTTTTACAGTTCCGTTAAAAATATTATATTCTAGTTATTCAAAAATAATTATCAAGAATTCGGAGAAAATAATATTGGGTAGAAAGAACGATATCTTCAAGCCAAGAATTGTATCGGTTTGAAGATATCGTTATTTCTATTTGATATTTTTCCTCTCAATTCATAAAAATTATTCTTGCACAATAAGAAAGTATAATAGTAATATAAAATAAATAATAATATGATATTTTTAGTGGAACTTTATAGAATATTTTCTCATGTAAAAGCAAGTATGTGTGTGTGTGTGTGTGTGTGCGTGTTTTACTTATATAAGACTATATACCCTTACTTATATATGAGAATACGTATCTTGAATTGATATCAATTTTTTTCGTCTACATGTTACATTTTTTCCTTCACGCGCGCGTTATAATATTAATATCAGAGAGTAAGTCCGGGTTTACAATAGGTGTAGCGAATCTTTAGCCTTTTGCTCTGTGCACTAAATCGTAATATGATTTCTAGTAAAAAGCGTTTCCAGTTCTCCCAGACATTGCGATTCCTAAGATTTAAGCGTTATCACGACTTTTAGCAGCGCGGGGAACGTCAGAATTTGTCAGAAATTACGTTACACTTTATCGTGCTCAGAGCGAAAGGTTACATTGAGTAAGAATACTTAGAAATTTACTTGTGGAATATAAGGTTTATTTTTTCCCACAGAAATAATTATCTCGATATATATCGAAGTATTTTTTTTCTCAGTGTAAAGCTCGCCACACTTATCGCAAATCCGCACTAACGTTTGGTCAATCGTGACTCGCGAAGCCGTCGTGCGCAGTTCACTCGGACTCGACGTTAAATTTCGCTCGAAGAATCGAGTGAGATTATAATATCGAATCAAGCGAGATTCCGGGTGTAATAACGAGAACGACGAGTCCGCCGGGGATTCCGCGGCGTTCTGGAACGATCGCGACCGTAACTGTCGTACGAGCGGGTTCGGTTCACGCGAGGATCGGCAGCCGCACTTCAATGGTCGAACGACCGGAACCTTGTATCCTTCGAAGACGCGAATCGCCCTGTCGAACGCTCTGCCGAACGGGACGATGTACAGCAGCTTGGTGCGCTTCAAGGTGTCGTGCGTGCGCCGGAGTGTGCGAACTGCTACGTCGTATCGCTTCGATGCCGACACGTCCGCCTTTGCTTCTCGGCCGTGCAGCATTTCGAGCCCGAGGGAATCACCGCATCGATGCAACGACGGTCCGAGAGATCGTCGTGTGAAATTCCACCCGGTCGATCCGTCACGCACGTAAAAGTACGCCGGGTATCACGGTAAATGCGCGAAATCTCGCGAGAGCGTATTCTTGAGATAATATCGTTGACAGGATGAGAAACACGACACGAGTATAGCACAAACATTCGTCGGGCGACTGGTCGAGTGAATAACTTTCCTGCTTGTAACTGCTTCGAAAGAAAGAAATTTAATTTTAACATAAAAGCAAATAAATGTGCGATTTAATCGTCGAAACGAATCGGGGGAGGATGACGTTTTCGCGCTCTAAGTATAGCTAGTAAAAATTAAGCTATCCGAAAATAATTCGTTCTGTGCAACTACCCGTTTCCGTCTGTTGCCTTGGTCTCTCTCTATTTCTGTTCTGTGTTTGTCTAAACGGGTAAACCGAGCGCGTATATAACTTTCTGCCCGCGGTATCCACGTACTCCGGTATTCGGTATTCGGTATCGACACGGCAGTTCTCTCTCAGAATATCGGCGTATATCAGGATACTCGCCGCACGATATCGTGTACGTCAGCGTTCGCACGTAATCCTCTCGTCAGATTTTCACAGGTGAAATTCCGTCGACGGAGACATTTCCTCTCGGTTGGATCCGCGAGGAGGAGGAGATCACAGTGGCGACCCGTATTCCAAATCCCGGCTGCTTGAGTTGCTGTTCCGTGGTCCTTCTTCAGCGCGTCGGCTTATTCTTTCTTCGGCCCTTTTTGCCGTCCATTTCCACCGAGAAGCAAAGAGCGAGACGTGCGGTGCGAAATATCGCGTGAAGTATTTCCGTCGAAAGCCACGTAAGGGACGAAGTACGCGAGTACGCGAAGGCGGACAGTGGTCGACCTTCGCCGTGTTCTACCGTCTTCGCACCTGTGCGCTCTCCTGGCCAATTTCCGCGCCACCCTCGTCGCCGTTGATCGTGCGCGGCTCGTCGCGGACTGTCCGCGCGATAATGACACCGATGTCTTACACCGGCTCGGCGTCGGCGTACTCCTGGCCTGCCCGGCCCCATCGTGAACTTCTATCTTTCCTGGCTGACCTGGCGTGGCATCTCGGCAGTCGGATGCACCGACGACGATGCGATCGAAAACGCGCAATTTACGCTGGCTCATAAGATGTGTGACTCAGCTGAGCAGAGATACTCGACGAAAGTCACGAAATAACGTCCGATTCGGGCCGCGAGATTCTGTGCTCCTCGTGCGGAAAACGAGAGAGGCATTTTGACAACGAAGGTATGAAACAACATATTACGGGCCCCGTGTGTGTGTATGTGTGTGTGCACATATCTGTGTGCTTTAGCCAACTTAATCCGAGTCGAAATTTTGGCCTTATGTTAAACCTTTAATTCTACAGTACAGTAGGAGCTAAAATAGCAAGATAGGTTCAATTTCAATTCTAATAATATGATTCAGTATTATTATGACCTTGATGATGTCTTAAATATTTGTTTTCGCTGTTTCGCGGTGTTAAAAAAGTTGTCTGTTCAAGGCAGCGTTAAAATGAAATCTGTGGAACTAAAGGTTCAAGAGAGTATTGAAACGCGGCGGGATTAATCGGACGTTATATCTCCGAGAGCTAATGGCATAAATGGCATTGATAAGTTATTGATTGACTGATAAGTCACGTGAATGGCTGACCAGTGTGTCAAGGGATCAAGCATTCACAATAGAGTATCGGTCGATACATTTTAATGAGTACGTAATTTCTATTCTGTTTGTATTATGGCAAGTTGTAGCAGCAAAAACAGACCGTCGCGATTGTCGAGACTCGCTGCTTCTATGTGCAACGTTGTTCAAACTGACACTCGGTGAATATACGTCGTGCCTTTGAAAAATATATATGAATAGTAATAAACACTTCATCTTGATAATAGCTACGTTATGAGTGTGACCTGTCTTTGTGTACCCTAGACTCAATAGTGTAAATTGCAATTGCGATGGTTATTTGCTGGTATGCGCCATTACGGCCGACCCACAAATGCATTAATCGATCGAAGAACTGACATCATAATAATTAACATTGCTGTTGAAGTAATGTCTAATAATAACGCATTCGCCTCGGTAAACGAGATGTCTCTTTAAGTGAAAAATTAATCTTTAATCCTTAATCTTTAAAATGAAAAAGTCATTCAAAGCGAGCGTGTTAATTACATGTGAAGCATTTCGCACGACAAAGGCGAGTCCATCATTCGTCATAGACGCTACTGATATGTATTTCTCATCTACATTACTGTAATTAAAATTTTTAGATATAAGAAAAAAATCGTTAAGATAAAACTTATATATCGAGACATCTTTAAAACTGAGTGAAGTTTTGTTATTTTATATATTTATATATCTCGATATATGACAGATTCATCTTTGTAGTACGTAAAATATCATATACAGGATGAGCCAATAATTATTACCATCTTGAATATCTTCGGAAAAAAATATCTTATTAGATAACTAGATAAAGATGAAGAAAGTTAACATTTATAGTAAACGTTCAAGGCGACTACTAGTATAAGTGCAATTTTTGTTAAATGAATTTTTTTCCTACTCTTATATTTCGAAGATATTCGAAATTTAATTTTAAGGTGGTGATGGTTATTGTCTCACCCTGTATGTAATCTGCGCTTACAAGACTATATTTAGATATTATAACTAGATTATGTAAGATATTATTACGATATGAATAAACTTATATATCGCAATAGTCGTGTTACTGAAATAAATATATTATTAAAAATATCAGAATCGGGATTAATAATGATATCTTTGTAAATTATTATCTTTAACGTACTGCGATCGGCATTCACGTTATCAATCAGCTCTCAACAGTTCTCCAGTTTTAACGACGAACTGATAATACGACAATTGTCGTCTGTTAATCGATGTTAAGTGGCACCATACCAGGTATGGTGCTGATATTTGGGACCGGCGGACTGCCGTTCTCTCTCTTCTTCGAGCCTGGCATCGGTAGCGATATGTTCGGACTCTTGCTGCTGTTCTCTTTGTAGTACCTCACCCCGGCAATGCCCATCATACCCATTCCACTCAGCATCATAAGCCACATCATGATTCTGCAAACACGAAGGATGTCAATCAATAATTTTAAAATTTTACTTTTCTCTTTCTCTTCTCGGCATGTGGGAATTCATATATTTAGAATGAATACATTTTTCCAAAATCGCCAGTTATTTTCATGCTCGTCTTTTGAACACGAGATATGCTGTTTTTTTCTTTTATTGAGATGATTTTCAACGGCAAAATTTCTCGAAATCGATTTCGCTTCGGTAGAAATCGCTCTGATACATTGTCGATGCTCTTATGGAAATATTAATTCGATAATGTCGCTTACTTTGCGATCAAAATCTGCATGTACGCGAGTTTCAACGGTTTCATGAGAATAGGTCCGAGCTCGAGTCCGTCTTCTATCCAAAATATCGGGAAGAGCGCTTCTGGGAAAGTTTTCATGAGCTTGAACTTCGCGACGGGTTCTATCATTACGTTGAATTGAATCTTCTTGTACGCTCTCAATGGGGTGCCTGTCATCGGGTCGAAGTCAAAAGTCATCATGTGTTTCTTCTGCAAGTAGCATATTTATATAATTAATTATAATATAATTTATTATAATATAAATATTATATAATTAATTATAATAATTAATTATAATATTTTCGGAAATGTAATTTTTCCATTTATTAAAAAAGATATTGTCAGATTTTTTTTTAAATTTATTACTAGTTATTATAACTATATTACTAGTTACAAGTATTTATAAAAAATAAAAGATGTATATGTATATAACAATGTAGAATACATGTTTCATAGATACATAGTTATAAAGATTTACCGGATCAGGTGTCAGTCCATCAATCATCTCGTAGTAATATGGATCGGAGTTGAGTAGATGAGGTAGACTTATTCTTATGGGCGCGTTCAAGCAGGGACCAGCGTTGTACACGTTTCTCGGCATACATCCTTCAGGCTCGAGACAAAGACATTTCATGTCCTCGTCTATGACCGGATCTCCCATATCTGCTGTGTAATGCAGAGTTTTGAAACCTAAAGAATTAAAGAAATCTTTAGAAAAATTTATGTAACAAGATTGTCGTGCTCAATTATGGAATAATCTTATCTCTACAATGTTATTTTTAAATACAGAAAATTACGTATGCATAAAGTTATTTTTGGTAACAAATTTAGAATTTCTCATATATTATATATATAGAAATATATGAATTTAATTACATTATCATATTTGAAGGACGCATTTGCACGAGTCTGCTTGATTACTGATACCTTTTATCTTTCCTGGCTCGATATAGTAAGCACCTATACTTCGACAGATATCCGGAAAGTGTGCCCAGACCTGTCTTTCCTTGCTGAGAAAAGGCGGAAAGATGGTCCCATCCGTGCCACGGAAGTCATTGCAGGGACTGCCCGGCCAAATGCTCATCCTCGTCTCGTTTCCCAAAGACAAGACGCGGCCCACGTCTTTGTGATTCTTGATTCCGCGCGATACTTTTATGCGATCCGGCAGGTAAGTCCCGTTCCGCTGAAACACAAGTAACAAATGCAAATTATCGAACAGAACATATATTAATAAGGAATATATATTTAGAAATATCTTACATCTTCTTGAAGAAAGATAAGCATAACTTAAAAAGTAGAAAATAATTGACTCATTTTTACTTTAATCGTCATTTGAATTATTCCGATTTGACTGAAATTTTGTTCTTACAACAATAAGGAGATATTCAATAGAGCACGAAGAAAATATAATACTTCGAAATATCACGTACCGTAGCGAGATAACCGTATCTGTAAATTAACTCCGCCTCTCGCACGAACATGTGCTCTCTTTCACGTAGCGAACTACAAACTGCGGATCCAGCGAAATCGGTCACATCCTTGCATTCGAAGTATATACCAGTGAAGAACAACTCTTTCACGGTAGTTTTGATGAATATTGATTCAGGCTTCTTGAAAATACTATCGATTGCCTTGCCTATCAATCAAACATAAGGACAAGGACATATAAACATACAATCGAATGAATAAAAGTCTTTAATTTTCATGATTAACAAAATCCCTCAACGAATTCTCAGAATTGATAGATTCTTCCGGTTTGTAAATTAACAAGACACCCAAACGGTAACAAATTTTGTGTTAAAAGCGACCCACTGAAATTTTGTGTTATTTTAACATGGAGAATGTGTTAAAAAGTACATAAATATAATGTTGAATTAATACATTCAACATATGTCGACAGAGGGAATATGTTAATTTAACATTATATTCGTGTACATTTTAATACAAAATTTTAGTGGACTGTTTTTAATACAGAATTCTTTACTGCGCAAGATTTTTAATAACGGAATTCCTTGATTATCGATCACAAGGTTCACAAGAATCCTATTCCCACTTCCGCGACCAAAAGAACTCTCGATCTTCGAACGTTCATAAAAAATAAATTCCTGCCTATAGTTTCGATGGTTTGTGCAAATAAATGACAGTAGTTTCATACTCCGTGGAATGATACACATTAGAAAAAAAATAATTTATTGAAAACGAATGCCCGAAAGATCTCCATAATTGACAAAATTCAAGTGCATGCTCTCAATCATAAAGATAAAAACTTCTGCTGGCGATCTCAGTGTTCTGTGCAAACAAAGGATATGCACGTATTTGGGAGTGCAAGAAACAAGCATAATAATCATATAACCGGCTAAAAACGGACCATATAGGGAGCAAAAACGATGAAATATTTTTGTAAAAATACTTACTAATGATTCCCATCGCGGATGGTTGATCTCTCTGACCGATAAGGATTATTGACAGTATGAGAGGATGAAACGAGCAGATATCCACGTTTTCTGACATGGCACTTTTCTCCGGATTGAAATGCCAAACTTGCTTTAGGCTATACTCAACGCTGTCTTCTTCCTCTCGATCGACGATATTTTCTTTGTCCCGATACAAGCTGAAAATCACATCGATGTTGCGAGTTTCTCTCGTATTGCGCTGACTAATTCGTGTTCGAATGCTACTTGAAGTACGACATTTTTTCGCGTTAAGAAATTTAAACCATGTCGCTTTCAAAATAATTACGCGGCCATAAATCGCTTCGACATCGCAAGGCGAATTATATTATCACTTACTCGTAGTGAAACGGCCCAAGTTCTTGGACGATTGGTTTCGCTCCTGCTTTGATTTCGCTAGGATTCGTCACGTTGAAAACGTAGATATTAAAGTCCAACGGTTGCGGAAGCTTCTCCCAAAAGTCGCGCATTTCCGTGCCCTTCTTCAGTCTGATTTGCTGCAAATTTGCGGTACGATTAGAACGTGAAAATAAGCCGAGTCGAGATTTCCTATGTTAAACTTTTGATTCTACAACACAGTAAGAGCTAAAATAGCAAAATAGGTTCAATTTCAATTTTAATGATATCTTTCACTCCTACTTTGATCCTGAAAATGTCTTCCCTTTTCGCTCTTTTAGCGTCGAAATAAATTGTCCAAGGTAGCATTAAAATTAAAACTATAGAATTAAAAATTCAAGGGAGAAATATTTAAATTGACTACCGAGTTAATGTCGAGACCTTCATGAATTTGTTTCCAACGTTTCGTAAACATTTAAGTTCACTTCTTCAGGGTAAGGAATTTGTAACTCAGTTCATTCAGTTCACAAGTTTCAAGTTGTCCGTCTTGAAAAAAGTATACTAAAATATTCAGGAAATGTTGAAAACAAATTTATGGATACCAAATTAAGTATTTTTTCATTCCACAAAAGCTTAAAATATCAGTTCAAGAGAGAAGTTAGTATGTGTCGATACCAAAGTAGGTTTTTACTAGTCTATAGGTTAACTAAGTAAGTGCAAACTATCCTTAAGAACGTCAAATTAACATCAAAATTTTGATCTGGAAATCGTCATTCTTTGCAGACTTCGAAAAACATCGTGGTAATTTCGAAATACTCGCTTACCGATTTCACTTGAGACTTCAATATAGCGGGAAAGCCCAGGCTATAGCTGATAAGTCCAATGGAGAACGTGCAGGATCCGACGAGTCCCAGCTTTTTTATAGACACCATCGTATTAATCTGAGGAAAAGCATCGGGTGGAACGGATTGTATTAGACTTTCCCGTCCGAGAAAACGAAAATCGCGAGAAAAGAAACGATGATTTCCACAGAATCTGGCGTTAGATTCCGGAGAATGGATTTTTCTCGCTGGATCACTTAAATTATCGATACTTTGTATTCGTCAATAGAGCGTAGCACGGCGTTGAGTATCCTGCCGAATATGCAAAAGGATAGCAGACGCTTCAAAATCGGATTGCGCATCGCTTCGTTAACTTGACGCAGCGCATGACGCGCGAAATCATTTTCCAATTGTTTGGAAAGTAGTTCTTGAAAATTGCCCATCCAATGCCCGACAAAATCCTCGGCTTCTAGAATCTACAAAGTCTTGGTGAAAATGATCCGAGTTTCCTCATTGGTCAAATATTTTAACAAAATTCCAATTTCAAGAGTTAACTTTCAGTTTCCAGATTCGACAAAATCCTCAACATTCAGGGGCGACGAAAGTCCTTATTGTCAGAAATTAACAAAAAGCCCTCGATCTCAAAAATCGATAAGATTGTCATCTCTCACATTCGACAAAATCCTCAATTTACAAAACAGACAATGTCTTGGAGTTCCAAAATCGATAAAATTTTTGATTTCTTTCTATAACAGGACTTCATAGGACTTTCTTGATCTCTATTATTTCTATTATTCCTTTTTTTCTTTTTTATTTATCGTTTCTGTTTCTATGAAGTATCCTTGGCGCACCTGAAGAAATTCTTGTTCGGAAAGGACGATCGTGTAGCCAAAGGACTCGTTCCTACGTCTCGCTCTTCGACCTCGGTCACCTCTTCGTCGTCGGTCCTCAGCAGCTTTCACCAACGAACTATCCACTCCTCTGTTATCACATTCACACGTTCTCACACATACACGCGTATCATTGTTTGTCCAATGCTTGTGATTCGACGACATCGGTGCCTTGCGACTGCGCGATCAGGAGCTTTTGGATAGATTTATTGAACTTGTGATGACGGCACAGGTACTCTTTTTTCCAGAAGAATCTATCGCGTACGCTATGCAATTTTTATATGTGTGTCGTTTTTCCAAAACGATAGATGGAAAATAGTCTCACGTAAGTTTAATTAACTCTTTATTGAATTAATTAAATTCGAAGTGACAGAGAAAGAGTCGTCCTGTTTTACTGCAAATTTTTCCGTACTCTGCTCGTTACTGGTTGTGAAGAATTAAAAGTCCTTTTGCACAATTACAATACACAAGTTATTATAGGCGACGACGGTTACTTTTATTCGAAAAATGAAAGAAAGTTAACAAATCATATAATTTTTTTTTCATATTTCGCAGTTCGTTTTTTTTAATAAAGTCAACCGTTATCGCTTACATTAATGTGTGTATTGTAATTGTGCACAAAGATTTTTATTTTTATAGCCAGTAACGAATATAATAATAAAAAATGTGTGATAAAATAGAACGACTCTCTCCCGAGATCCTCTTAAGTCTATCGTTTATAAGTCGATCATAAATTCAAAAAACTTAAAAATATCAAGTTGACATCGTCTAAAATTAATAGTCAAAATTGTAATTTAAGTTATTTTAGGTTTATTGTTAACAAGTCAAAATTTTTAACAACAATCAATTTTGCAAATCAAGTTAGGATATTTTTGTGATTTTTACAGAAACTTGAAAAATATATTAAATTTTACCTTAAATTAATAAATTTAAATATATTAAATTTTAATATTCTTCTTTCAAAGAAAATTTAGGAATAATATTTTTTCGTCACTAAAGTTTCATAAAAAAATTAATTCTTGCTAATTCGAGCGATTTTAATTATCCTATTTCACAGAACAGAGGTGTACATAGCTTGCCTATATGACGGTTACGTGGATATAATCTATAGTTCTAATCTAGTGGACTATAATCTATAATTCAAAGAGCGGATCGGAGTGACACATCCTACTTGTAGTTTCGTATACATAAAATTTCACATGTAACTGAACACGAAGTATTTTCATAATTTTCAAACTGTGGGGAGCTAACAGATTGATACTTGAGCTGAATGAAATTCGAAAAGCCGATTGAAGCTAGACGCTTCAAAGAATTTCTCTAACTAAACAATTAAATATAGTTTTATTTTTTCAAAGGATAGCTGGCTGCATATTAATATAAAATTATACAATTTTACTTATGCATATTAATATAAAATTATACAATTTTACAAAATCAAAGCAGCGTGCCTTTCAACTATAATCGGAATAGGACATCGCAATTCAACGTAAAAATATATTGGCAAGTTCGTCCAACTGAAGATGCCGCCAGTGGCGGGAAGTAATCGTTAGTTCGAGTCCTGCCTTAACACTTCCACTCTACAGCATCAGAGTTCATTTCTTTCGATCGCTACAGTTAGTCGCCTTTAAGTCGACGTTATAGATCCATTTGGTGTCAAGTGTAATGCCTATTGAGCGCAAAAGGTGCCGAATGATTCATTAAACATGAGCTCGCTATAGATACACTACCTGCTGTATCCGCTACGAGCAACTCCTGCATTATTATTGGCGTCTATTGTAGACGTAGTTATCATAACCGAGGTTCCATTAAAATCTCTAGACATAAAGAAAAGTCAGAACGTGTACTTGCAAGATAGGAAGGAAGGAAGGAAAGAAAGTCACGACTGACGAGGTTCCATCACCGACCGAAATGGTTAAATAAAAAACGCGAGAGATAATCCCAACGACCGTTGAAAGTAAAGTTTGTAATTGTGTGCACATGATATATGAAATATTTAACTTAACGAGATCAATTATAATACATCGCACCGAAAAGTATAGAAAATATGTAAATAGAGAAATGTACCCCGTGGAAAAAATGTATCGCAGCAAGTAAAGAATGAGCGGAGGGGAATTAACTTTTGTTTAAAATAATTTTTTTTTTATTAATTTGTATCTCAATTAATTATGAATTGTGATTTATTTGTGCAACACGCCGAGAATAACCACTATGTTAAATCTCGCCACTAGAGCTCCCGATAAAGAGAAATCTAATGCATATTGTCTTTACCAAATGCACATTATCTTTACCAAATAAGTTCTCATTGAACTATCGGTTCAAAAAACTGTATCGAAGAAAATGTTGAAATCGTTTTGAGACTCAGTGTACAATAATCAGGTCGGCAAATGATGAGTATCGTTCGTCAAATTGGAAAACTTCCTCTCGCGTCGCATCACGCAAATACGCAAATAACTACTAGTGTGGTTTCAATATCACATGCCATAGTGCGAGATCGGGAAGGTTCTGTCTGATTAAGGCTGCTAAGTTCTTATTCTATAACTTTTAACGTGTGCATTAGGCATAACGTAGACGTTATAAATCCTTATGCAGATAAAATACATCACGAAATAATTGCGCAATGATACGTTAAAGATCACAAAATTGCTGTTACGTATTACAAAATAAGGGAGCAGGTCCCTCGTTGTAATCGTCTTGTGTGATGACGTCAGAAGCGAGAAAACACTCCAGATAGAACAGAAAATGATAATGACGTGAAAATGACGTCAAACAGATGAAAAAATGATCGAAAAATGAGTTTTATAGTCATTTTATTGTCATTTTAATGTTTTGACGTCCTGATGCATCGTCATTCTGGGATATATCTACCTGGGATATATCTAAAATTCTTGCGAAATAATTATTTTTGAAATAACAAGATGTTTCTATAAAGTGATAATTGCAGTTAATCGAGCAAATCTGTAAAATAGTCCAAAAACCTTACTTCAAACTCTAACAATCGATAAGTAACCGTAAAATTAACGTGACATGCAGCTTTCCTTTTTCGTCTATATTTTCTTATGATTGTGTCGTGTGAAACTTTACGACTATCTATTGAGATTGTTAAACAAAAAGGCATATTTTTTCAAAATATTTTATAAATAGGCTCAATCGATCACAAGTATCAATTTACAGACATGTCCTTTTATTTCGACGTATTCCGCAAGAATTTTGAGCATACGTTCTCTCGCTTCTGATGTCATTAATCAAAATAGCTACAACGAAAGAGAACTTAAGAAAGTCATCTCGATCAACGAATAACAAGAGAGAGAGAGAGAGAGAGAGAGAGATGTCGCGCCGAATTTTCGCACCGAATTTCTGCACCGATGACACGAGTCGCGACCGGGGAGACTCTGTTCTCACAGAGAAGAAACGTCCCGTGCTTTCGACGGAGAGGAAATCCGCGTATCCGCGTCGCTAAACGTACGGATACTGAGAGCTCTGATGGCGAAGAGATAGCGGCTCGCCGGCTGACGATACCTCCGTGTAATGGGGTTACCGTTTCTTCCAGAGCATGTCGATTTGACAGATGACATGGGCATTTTCGCGGATGACAGATGGCGAGAACGTCCACGTGTTTTCGCGCTTTATTTACGGAACAGAGAGCGGAGCGAATATGATGGTCGATAGCCAAGCGCGAGCGTGACATCGGGTTCACACGATTGCTCGAGTATAGTTACAACCCTCTTAGCTAACCAGGCTGCCGGCTCTGTTTGTTCTCCTCGAAGAAATTAATCAACTCCAGCCGCTAAATTAAATCATTAGATACGTCGCATTGGCACGACAACGTCGTTCTCGCGACTCAGGTCGCGCATGTACGTATATGGAAAAAAACATCAGTCTTAAATCATGACGAAATATTTTCATATATAAGCAAGAATATTATAATCTTCTTAGAAGATTTTTAGTATTGAATGGAGTTCAAGTAATACTTGCATCAATATCAATTCAATCAAGTCAAGACTAAAAGTCTTCTAAGAAGATTATGATATTCTTGCTTATATATGAGAATATCTATTCTTGATTTAAGATTAATTTTTTCCCCGTGTACGGGTCTGAGGCGGAAATTATTCCAATTATTCAAATAACGATCTCTCAGCGGAGATCGCTGATCGATGATGCGCGAATGATCCACGGAGATCCGCGCGATTCATTTCCCGTTCGATTCAGTGCCGATCGTCCGGGAGTAATCGGAAATTGGCGGTCTCCGCTGTTAGCTGAAAACAGTCGCGGCTCGCGGCCGCTTATAGGCGAAAGTAGGGTTACATACGCTTCCTAACACCCATAACACGAGCGGTGGTATAACGCGCGGTGTCTCGGCTAACAATATGCATTCGCTCGTTAACAATGTATGAGAGAGCCGTTACGTGGAAAGCGCGACCTTTCCCTGTCGCCTCCATCGGTACACTTTTCCGTAGGTGCGACATTTTCCACGCTCGACCGCATCGCTCGATGGTGCGCAAGAGCGGGGAGGAGATCCGAGGACACGCGAAGGCCTCCCATTGGCCGGCGATACTCCCCTCCGAAGTGATAGCGGCTATCAGATGGCTCGATACGTGAAATTTTTGCATGTTCCGCCGTTTTCGCCGGCCACCGGCGATTATTTCGTCCATCCGACGCAGTTTCACCGGTTTTGCAATGTTAACAAACCGGAACAATCATTCAATGAGATAATAAGACATACGGATATTGGGGGGGGGGNGGGGGGCTGTTGATCGCGAAGCGATTACGTTATATACGAGATATCGTGTGACGAGACTGATGAAATATTTTCAGAGGCGTTGCGATTTCGCTGTCGAAAACTTGATATCGTCAATACGATTAAAGGGCAAGGACGTTAACGACGTCGTAAGGCACTTAGAAGCTTATAAACTTTGTCGCTCGGTATATAAATGCATAAATGATTCGGTTCTCACCTTGTAACTGTCTCACGTGACGCGGTCGTAACATTGCTGATTGCATTAACCATGATAACCGTACCGATAGTACAAGTTCACGCAACATCGCATTTCCTGGGTAATAATGCGATTCGTCGGGAACCGTCGGTTTGAGTAGCTTCTAGCTCGCTTAGAGGATAGCAATAGAGAAGTTCTCAATAACATCGTTTATTTAAAAAAGACGTACAAAACTTGGTCGACGTCAGTCCTCGAAGTGTGATTCATTTTGTCGGGCAAGATTAATTATGATCCGCAAGTTTACAATAATCGCACTAATGACGTCGCAATGAAGGTTACGTCCCGGACGTGTTAAGCGACGAAAAATGGAGTATGCGCTTAATATTGTTTCGAAGCATCCCAAACAACAGGTGTGTCTGAGAGACGTCTCGACATCTTATTGTCTAAAACACGTCTTTACAGCTTCTTAGGACGTCTTAATGTCATCTGGGATCGAAGCGTCGAGCGAGATAGAAGTACAAATATGACGTGGAACGAGCGGGTTACCAGCTATGCGACTTGTAGTGCGCGTGAATGGCGATAGGTACCGGATACGGCTTCGGTACGTGCACCGGCACGGCCACGTGCACCGGATACGGCCGGTCCACGTGCACGACTTTCTCGAAGGTGACAGGATACGGCTTCGGCACCGGGACCGGCACATGCACCGGACGGTCAACCGGAATGTGCACCGGCTTCTCGATCGGCACCGGCACCGGCACTGGCCGGTCCACGGGGATGATCTTCTCCACAGTGACTGGATACGGCTTGGGAACCGGTACCGCTACTGGTACGGCGCGGTCAATGTGAACTGGCACTGGTACGGCGATCGGTACGTGCTTGGTGACCGGCACTGGTATGGGCACCGCCACGGGCTGCTGTACCGGGTGTGGTATCGGCTGCGGGATGGGTACCGGTATTGCTGTTGAAAAAATGCGAGAGATAACTCGGATGCAATAATGTTTAATTGGTCTTTTCAGAAGACGAAAATAACCGTTTTGGATGCAACAAACGTAATACTGATTTATATAAAACATCCCAAGGATAATGAGAACGAGGAAGTCGCAATTTCTTATGAAAGAGATATTTTTATAAAAGATACTAACATATTGTCAAATTCAATGATTCGGAGGGGGAGTTATTATTTGTACTTTTAGATTTTATTATATTGATTCCTATGTTGCAAAAATTGTAAAAGTTTAAGTCGAGATATGTTATTGTTTATGAAATGTATATGGTTTTTTCTTCAAAGTTTGGCAAAGCGCAACACGCGTAGTTGGCAAGAAGGATATTAAAAGATTTTTCTTAGATGAGATTAGAGGTAATATATACACCATATTATAAAAATCACATTTGGACATTTGGAATCACATCTGGAATCATAAGGACCAAAAATTCTGTTTTCTTCAACCAGGACGCATCTAGTTGTTTTCCTTTTCGTTGCAATCAGATTTTATTCTGTGTATGTAAATATGAAATATATATTACACAGACACACACAGAAGTGATGCAAACATAAATAGCGGATTCGCTTCTATGTGAAACATATCAAATATATCATATGTCAATAGATATATTACTATGTTTGTATATATTATTAATGCGTTAATAAGTTAAATTTGGGATAGATAAAAAATGAGAGTTTCTTTGTGAAATAAAGGTCTGCTTGTAAAATGAGGATAAAGCGCGTTTACTAACCAACTGGGTGTCCAACGCCGACCGGCGGTGACGGCTCCGGGATGTGTCCTGATACCGGATGACCGACGTCCGCCGTTGGCACCTCGTAAACCGGAGGGGAAGGCACTGGTGGTCCGTATACGTGTTCGTTATGTTCTTGCTGAAAGCCATATCCCAAGCTGTCCAGTCCCCTCTTATCGTGTTTCTTCTCCTTTACGAAAGCACCGTTCCCTTGTCGCAAATTGTCTTCGACGATAACTGCTACACTGCTGGCCGCCATCAGCGACATTATCTGCATAACGATCAGAATATAATTAGTTAACATCATTTTAGATTCGTTTCAAACGATCTATGTAATTCGCGCTTCAGAATTTGATTTACGAGAAGATGTTTGAAAAATCAGAATTACATTCGTAGACGAATATGCATCTTTAAATATTTCTCGTATAAAACAGTACGAAATAGACATAGTGATATAAAAAGTTCAAACGCATCATTTCTGAATATTTGTGCATCTTGATTGTTGCTTTGGAGCATCGTTCATCGAATAACCAACAGTCATGATGCATGAATATTCGGGCATGATGCGTCTGAACTGGAAATTTTCGATGTCATTATAAAATTCCTGAAAAATAAGACTGCAGTAATGGAGTCTTCTGTACACATAGACATGTATGTCTTACCATTTTCTAGATAGAAAATTACACGATTTTTAGCTTTATACATATAAGATTAAAAGTTTTATAATTAGAGCCATTATAATTAGAGTTATTTATACAATTTTCGATCTTATATATATATATATAAAAGCTTATGTACATGTGCTTAAAATCCAGAAAATGGTAAAGCATATGACACCGTGTGTACATAAAATTCGCGATAATTATATATAATATAATTGTTATATTAATAATAATTATACTAAAGTGTAAGAGTATTGTTAGTTATATATATATATATATATATATATA